GAAGAAACACTGAGACACGCCGGAGTCCAGCGTGAAGGAGAGCGACGCAACAGCAGTCGTCACGGCTGGGCTAGTGACTACACAAGCACCTACACTAAACGCACAAGTACCGACACTAGCAACAGGCAAAGGTCCTAAGCTAGGTACACGTAAGCCAAGAGATCCGTACGTGACAGAATAAACAGCATCCATAGACATATCAAACACAAGGAAACCACTACGAAACAGACCGGGCCAGATCGGGGGAGCAGACTCAGGCCCAAAACGCTCACGGTAAAGGTCGTCGAGGCGGCTGTAGCAGCGCTGTGCAGAGTGGTCAGGACGCCAGCAGGTAGTGCCAGCACCGGGGCCGGTCAGGATCCGGTACTGGCAGGGGCCGACGTCGCGGCCACCGCGACGAGCCCCCCAGCTGGCTGGGCCGCTGCTGCAGCCAACGCGACCTGAACCACAAGGCCCCCACGCTGCTGAGGGCGCCACAGCTGCTGAGGGCGCCCCTGCTGCTGCGGAAGCCACTGCTGAAAAGGCCGCTGCTGCTGTCCCTGCTGCTGGAGAACCCTAGTGGACTCCATGATAAAAGCTAGCGGGGTGCAGGAGCGGCAGGCTAGGAGCGACAGGAGCGACAGGCTGCTGTGAAAAACGAGAACAACTAGGAGCGCAAGGTGAAACCAGGCGAGTAACTGCTGGAGCACGGAGCGAACTAAGCTAGGAGCGCCAGGTGAAACCAGGCGAGTAACTGCTGGAGCACGGAGCGAACTAAGCTAGGAGCGCCAGGTGAAACTAGGCGAGGAACGGCTGGAGCACGGAGCAAACCGAGCTACGAGCGAGGAGCGAGAACGGCTGGAGCGAGAACGGCTGGAGCTAGAACAGCTGGAGCACAACTGGCTGGAGCTAGAAACGGCGAGCTAGGGCTGGCTGGAGGTAGGAACGGCCGGGGCTAGAGACCGTAAGTGCGGCTGTCGGCTGCCGCTAGTAGAGCCACTGGCAGTGGAAAGTACGTGCGACAGTAGGGGCTGCAGTACTGACGGCTGCGGGATGTAGGCAACTGTGCAGGTCGTCCGGCAAGCAGGAACGCGGGCGACAGTCGCAGGCCCCCACTGTGAACCCTTTTTTTTTTTTTTTTTTTTGGGTTTAATTTATTTATTTATTTTCTGGCACTAAAGCACCCCGGGGCGCGCTGCCTGCAGGGTGTGCTGCCTGCGGGGCGCGCTACCCGCGGGGCGCGCCTCCTGCGGGGCGCGCTACCCGCGGGGCGCGCTACCCGCGTGGCGCGCTGCCTGCGGGGCTGGGGTGACGAGCCAGGGAGGGCGCCTGGGCGACGGGCTAGGACGGGCGCCTGGGCGACGGGCTAGGACGGGCGCCTGGGCGACGGGCTAGGGCGCAGGCCTGGGCGACGGGCTAGGACGGGCGCCTGGGCGACGGGCTAGGGCGCAGGCCTGGGCGACGGGCTAGGGCGGGCGCCTGGGCGACGGGCTAGGGCGGGCGCCTGGGCGACGGGCTGGGGCGGGCGCCTGGGCGACGGGCTGGGGTGGGCGCCTGGGCGACGGGCTGGGGCGGGCGCCTGGGCGACGGGCTAGGGCGGGCGCCTGGGCGACGGGCTAGGGCGGGCGCCTGGGCGACGGGCTAGGGCGGGCGCCTGGGCGACGGGCTAGGGCGGGCGCCTGGGCGACGGGCTAGGGCGGGCGCCTGGGCGACGGGCTAGGGCGTGGGCCTGGGCGACGGGCTAGGGGCGCAGGCTAGGGGCGCGGAGGGCGCTAACGCGCGGAGGAGGAGGGCGCTAAGGCGCGGAGATGGCGCGGAGGGCGCGGTGGCTAAGGCGCGGAGGGCGCGGTGGCTAAGGCGCGGAGGGCGCGGAGGGCGCGGAGGGCGCGGAGGGTGCTAGGGCGCAAGGGCGCGGAGGGCGCAGAGTGTGCTAGGGCGCAAGGGCGCGGAGGGCGCTAGGGCGCGAGCTAGGCTAGGCTAGGCGAGAGGATCGACACCTACTCATGATATCATCTCAAAGTTAGCGAACAACGGAATGATTGGAATAGAAACGAATGGGGTACAAATGAGCAACCCTAGAAGCTGTACCCCCTAGAGTGCAACTCACTATAGCCTATCATATCAATGTTCAACATTTGACAAGGAGGAACGACGGGATGGGGGGAGCAGGGACAGCGATGGCGGCGGGAGGGCAGGGGAGAGAGGAAGGGTGACGGAAGGGGAGAGGAGAACACCAGTAAGACGGGAAGGTAGGGGAGAACATGAGAGCGACGGAGAGGAAAAAAGAGAGTGAAGAAAGGGAGGAAAAAAGCGCGATAGGAGAGGAGATCGCGAGGGCGATCATCCCAAAAAACATCGCTGGAGCTACATTGTAGTCACCCCGTAACTGCATCCGATGTTCGATGTATCTACAGTGCACTCGGCTACAATGTACTTACAGGTTCTCATACAAACATTTTACTTCGAATCCCGATAGGGGGTGGAAGTAGGGTAACCACATAGTACATACTCCGATAAATATATAGTAACCACATAGTAGTCAATCCAAATCTACTCTGAAACCACTCCCTCAGCAAACATAGAGTAGGTACATAGTATATGCCAAGTACGTAGACAGCAAAGTCTGGCCTCATTTATTGCATTTGATTAACGATTCCAGGTTACGAACACAGTGAAATCGAAAATTTTTATATTAAGTTACAATTAGACATCCTACGCATACAGAGTTAGCAGACGCTATGTACGAGTTATATTCACGTGCTACGTCCCTACTAAGTGGCCTTGCAGCTGCAGGGGATAAACACATCCCTGCAAGTCAATAATTAACAATTAGAAGCGCCAAGTGCTTACCAGGGTTCAGCCACCGCTTGCCAGAATACTGAACGGAACTGATGATAAAGAAAGGATAATAGCAGATTCTTCACGGGCAAACTTGTAGCCTGCAAAATCGCGACACATTCATGAACCGTTAGTGTTTGGAGAACGGACAACAAGAAGCTAAGGATAGCAGAACAGACAACAGAAATTAACGTAGTGCTTAACGTAGTAACAACACTGCCGCAGCCCGCACGCCATCGCCCATATTGCCACGTCCAAATCGCCACGGCCATATCGCCACGGCCATATCGCCACGCGCAAATCGCCACGCCCAAATTGCCACGCCCAAATCGCCACGCCCATATCGCCTTCCGTCGTGTCAAAAGTAAAAGCAACAAGGGAACGACGGATTATTAACTAGTACGTGCTGAATATTCCCAAGCTGAAAAACGAACAGGAGTGTGGCCTGGCAGGTGAAACTGCATGGTTCCCTACACCAACCCCCTCGAAAACAATTTTCAGATGATCTGAATCGGAGGGCGACCGATCGGAAAGGGAGCGTGAGGGCGACGGGAAGGGATGAGAGGAGATGTCAAGGGCGAGTGGACAGGACGAGGGGAGGGCGACGGGAAGGAAAGGGAGATGGCGAGGGGACGTGAGAACGTGAAAGGGAAAGGAAAGGGGAGAGGAGCGGAGAAATGGCATGAAGCGCGCGCGCACCAGCGCGCACCCGCGCGCGAGCATCTCCGCCAGCATAGGCGCGGGCACTGACGGGAGGCGCATGGGCGCTGGGCCGAGCATCCGCATGGGCGCTGGGCCGAGCATCCGCATGGGCATGGCCACGAGCATGGGCGCGGGGCATCAGCGCGAGCATGTGCGCGTGCTGCAGCGTGAGCATCACTCCGCCTCACCTCCCGACGACGTCCAGCACGCGTGCTCTCGCTGCTTCTGCTTCTGCTGCTACCGAGGGAAAGGGATGCGAGGGAGGGTCCTGAGGGAGAGAGGACGAGAGGGGAGAGTACGATACCAACGCGATCGGAGAGGATAACGAGCGCGGAACGGACGATTTGGGTCGGCTGAGATGGCGACGAGGTGGGTGGCGCGAAGGGAGAAAGTAAGGGCGAAGGGAGGGCGATATGTGGCGCGCATGACGACGACGAGGTAGGTGATGTGAGATGGAGAGGAAAAGGGTGACGGGAGGGCAGTTTACATCGAGCGCGACGGTGACGAGGTGGGTGATAGGAGTACCCTGAAGGTAGGGGTAATGGAAGGGCGATTCGAAGCGATCGGGGGCAACGAGGTGGTTCATGTGAGAAGAAGAGATGAAGAGCGACAGGAGGGCGAAGCGCGACGGCAGCGCAGGTGAAGGGTAGTGTAACACTTGCGCGAGAAGAGAAAAATATTTACTATATTAAGCAACGTTTACTACATTTCGCGGGCGAGCTAATTCGATACTTACGTGCCTAGGCGGGAAGCATCTAGGCTCCCTAAGCTTTGCTACTATGCTACGTAAAACGCTGGTGACTTCGGGACCAGATATCAGCTCGTCATTCACCCAGTTCCATCTTGAATGGAAGCTGGGCCTGGCGATGGAAACCATCGCTGGGCTCCGTTCGTGCGGGTGTAGCGAGCCAAAATGCGACGGGCTGAAACGATCATGCAAAATCGTTTTGGCGGGAGCCAATTTTTTCAGATTGGTGTGAGCCAATCAGATGAGTTCAACCTGCCTAACCATTTTGTTTGGAACAGTGTTGTATCAGCCGAACTTATCGCAGCCATTTCAAGCTGGGTCTGCCTGCCTTTCCGAAGCTATTTTTCCCGCGTTGACTTCCATTGAGCAATTTGGGTGTTGCCCATTGAACTACAGCCTACAGGTACCACTACTTGTACTTGGTAACAATTGCGATCAGACAAAGAGCAAAATACATTGAAAAGATATGATACAACAAACAAGAAATAGAGACACACCCGACCAAGAGATGGAAAATGAGCCGAGCCAATTTGTGCAGTCAAGAAAAGGATAATCTACTGTAGTTCCCCTTGCAGATGGGAAGGCGAAGTATGCACACACACAGTGCAGCTAGGGGTACTCTTCCACAGCCATACTGCAACAGAGAGCTGTCAGAAGGCCAAGTGTGTAGCACACTATCGCAACACAAGCTGTACTACCGGTACCGTATGTCCGAAACCATGCACTCGGCCATTTACCTTGGCACACAAATGTAATCGCCTCCAATGGTTGAAGCACATCGATCTCCGTTGTAATACTCGAACGCATCGTCTCGGCTCATAGTGCCAGTGCTGGCGTAGAAGCGGTAAGCACCGGAACACGTGAGCGATGGCGACACTGTCTTGGCCCGGCCCTTGGTGCACTTGCCGAGCTCAAACGACCAGTACTCTGCCCTGAGGCACACCTGGGGTAGCATAGCACCCGGAGAGACAAGCGCGAAGGGGAAGGGTACGGGAATTAAAAAAAGGTAAAGGAGATGAATGGCAGAGGGTAACTTCACCCAAGCAGGGCGTATTTGATGCTTTGAAGCTCAAGACCCAAATTGGTCTGCTAGGTAGGTTTGTGCCTGGGTGTTAGACTGAATCATACTCGTCAATTGCTTGCCCCCCAATGCTGTTTTCGAATCTCAAGTGTAAAAAAAAACGCCGTTTTGACAGTATAAGAAGGCGCTTGAACTAAACCCCAATCCTCGCCCACTCAGACCATAATTCCTTTCACTTCTTCCTCCCACCCTTCCCCATGTTTCTACCCTTCCTTTTCTGACTGTACCTCTTTCCTCCTTTATCCTCCCCCCACACCCTTCCGCCTCTCACCTGCACGCCGGTGTTGCTGCCAACAGCAAAGGCGCCGCTAGGGATGGCACCAGAGCAGACGAGGCCGGGGTTGTTGCGGTAGAGCTCAGCCAAGGAAGAGGGCTCGACCTTCTGGTTTCCCGCCCCCTTTAGCAGCGTCGTACACGTGTCTTGCGGTGTGAGTGTGGCGTACTTGACACACTTGGGGGCCGTGTAGGCATAGCTGGCATTGCGCTCCACACAGAGGGAGCGGCCGGGCTTGATGGTCTGGGTGCAGTCTAGACCGGGGTTGAGAGCCATGAGTTTGGCCTTGGTGATATCCACTGACGAGGCGATGGACTGACACCTGTCGCCCTGGTGGGGTGAGAGGGAGGGAAATATGCAGAGAGGAGATGGAAAGGGGTGTGAGGTGGTGGACTGCGTCGTTCAGTAGTGTGTGAAGTGTGGCTTTGTGGGGATGGTTGAAGAGAATGGCACATGGCATGCAATGTATGAGCGGAAACAAGCCAGTGACACTCCAAGGGAAAACCAGCACATCCCTAGTTCTGAAGGCGAAAGGAGGAGCACGCATGGCCGGGAACTTTTGAGTAGGAACAACTTGAGCTGGGAGCTCACATGGAGGGTGTAGAAGAATCCCGTGCAGGGGATGGCTGGAGTGCCGGCAATCTGAAGCAACGCCTGTTTCGGCAACGGCTGGGAGCAGACGATATCCTGCAGTGGGAAGGGTGGGCATGGGCGTGGGCACGGGCGTGGGCATGGGCATGGGCATGGGCACGGGCATGGGCATGGGCATGGGCACGGGCAAGGGCGAGGGCACAGGCATGGGCATAGGCATGGGCATAGGCATGGGCATAGGCATGGGCATAGGCATGGGCATAGGCATGGGCATAGGCATGGGCATAGGCATGGGCATAGGCATGGGCATAGGCATGGGCATAGGCATGGCCACTCTTCCTTTATTATGCCAGGCCCTCCTGCTTCTTCTCCCAATTCTCCTGCTTGTCCCATGCATTCTGCCCTGCCCACATTTGCCATTCTCGCCTCCCATCCTCGCATCCCATTCTCGCCTGCCATTCTCGCCTGTCCTACCCTCGCCTGCCATTCTCGCATCCCACTCTCGCCTCCCATTCTCGCCTGTCCTACCCTCGCCTGCCTCTCTCGCCTCACCGGGTTCTGCAGGGCGAACTGCGAGGAGGAGAGCCCCACGAGGCCATACACGTCAGCGCACGCCCACTTGTCACCGCTCACTGTCAGGCTCGTGACCGTTTCGTTGGCTGTAGAGATGGGGGAGGGAGTGGTGGGGGGAAAATAGGGGGCAGGGAGGGCAGGTGTCTGGAAAGGAGATAAGTTGCGTGTGCTTATTGTACACCAGTTTTTTTTTTTTTTTTTTTTTTTTTTTTTTTTTGCCTGGGTGGCAGGGAAATGTACCTGGGTCGCAGGTGGGGAAGTCATCAATGGTTCGGCTGGGGACGTGGTTGGGAGGGCAGATGCAGGAGTAGGAGCCCTTGCCATCGTTGATGCATGTGCCCACGGCACAGGGGTTCTTGAAGTACGACCCACACACGTCCACTGCCATGCCGGGTTAAAGGGAGGAAGACTGAGATGAGGGGGGGAGTGAAGGCAAAGGAATGCTTCAGGTACGATCCACACACATCCACTGCCACAGTGCCACAGTGCCACAGGTGGTGGATGGAGGGGGTGACATGAAGAATGAGTACCGGTATTTCTGCAAGCGTACACACGTGGAGTTACACGCTGCACACGGCGCACGTATTGCCAGCAATTGCACTGCATGGGGCTGTCTATTGTATCTCACCATAGGCGCACGTATTGCCATAACCATTGGCAACCTCCACAAAGGGCTGCTTGGTCTCAGAGGGGAGCGTGCAGTCGCAGGTGTTCTTGTTGGTGTTGGTGTTGGGCGTGCAGGCGAATCGGCCGCACGGGTTAAAACCGGGCTGCAACTGCCGATCGCCCTTGTAGCTCTTGCTCCCGCACGGATCCCCTGGGACTGCAAAAACAACAATGAGGGCCGGGAGAATAGGCCGACAATGAGATTTTGCTGGCTGAGAATTTAAGGGGATGAGAAGGGTGCTATTGACTTCAGTGTTTAAAGGCTGCAGGTCACCAGAGAAGTAACTGAAGGGCGGCTATTGGGGCGTCTCACTCTTGACAATGGGGTAGATGCCAGGCAGCACGTTGATGCCACACACGCCATCCCCTCCCTGAATGTCCATGCGCATGTGGCCCCTGTCGCCCCAGCCCTCGCCCCACGAGTTGCGGACGATCCAAAAAGGCGGAGCAATGCGGCTCTGACTGCCGTCATCCCTCAGAATGAAGTATCCCACCAGCAGCACCACGTGGTTCAGGTTGCCACTGTAACAGGCAGGGTCCTGGTACTTGAACGTCTGGCATCCATTACACGCATTCATCACATGTAACCATCACAGAGCCAGCCAAATTCGTTAGAGAAAGAGTTTACTAGGAATATGGCCAATGGCTGTCAGCTCAACATGACTCAGCATAGCATCTCATCTCATCACACACACTGCATTGCACCAATGAATCCAGCATGCGAGGGCAATCGGAAAATGCCTGCCCAGCCCAACACTCAGCCCTCATGTGAATACGCCCAGCAATGACCCGGCATCACACCACACACACTTCATTTACACCCCCCACACTCACCCCGTCATACAAACACGGCCCCCCAGCACTCACCCCGTCATACAAACACGGCCCCCCAGCACTCACCCCGTCATATTGAGCGAACGTGTTCACAGAGGCTTCGATGTGAACCACCACTGGCTGCCGCTGCACTGCCAGCATGAGCCCCACATACCCCTTGAATGATGTGCGCTCAAAGCCCTGAATAGGGTACAGCTTCCCCTGCGATTCACAGATGTGTGTGACAGTTGGGACGTACGTGCAGACACCAGGAGAAACATACCGTAAGCAGCAACCCAAGAGAGAGGCAACTCTAGAGATTTCGAGTCAACTAAATGGCATCGGTTACACCATCAGACAAGCACCATACCTTCCGTTTGTTGTTCTGTTGCACACACAGGTCGGAGTGATTCCATTCCAGTGTGTCAAAGCATCATCACCTTGCTTGCGGTGCTGCCCTTTCAAAGCATACCAGATTGTTAGCCAGGGTTACTCCTCCTTTGGGCAAGAGAAGAACCACCACCACCATACCGAATACCTGGTATCCCTGGTATATGTGCCTGCCATACCGGATTGTCGACCAGGGTGAGTCCCCCTTTGGGCAGAGCGAGCAGCTTCTCAAAGGCATCTGTGGGGGAGCCACCGCCAGGGCACTCTTGAGAGGTGAGCCCCATGGCTGCAAAGAGCGACTCCACTGACAGCTGCGGCGCCTCTCCGTTCATCGCCAGCCCGTACGCTGCTTCTATGCTCGCCACCACTGCATACGCCCAGCACGCATCTGAAGGCGGAGAGAGAAAGAGAGAGAGAGAGAGAGTTGAAGGAGCAAGAGAGTAAGCCAAAAAACGATCACTCACATGCACACCCAACCAATCAGAGCTGAAGTATGCTGAAACACAAAGCAGCAGCAGACCACTATAGAACCATTGGCAGGCAGCCAAAGCAGCAGTCCGGCATAACCATTGGCCCCATGCATTGTCACCAGCCCCCCTGGAGACACGCGGTGCAGTCCTCCCCTCCCCACCCCCCTCCTCCACCACCTTGACTCCAAGCTAAGCCCACTGGCCCCTCTGCTGGCACCCACCGCAGGCTCCCGTTGAGGCGCCTCAAAAGCGTCTAGGCGCCGCAGAAAATTGCACGCATGGAATGGTACCCCCTCCCCCTCCCCCCCTCTCCACACGTTTAGTCCAGCCCTCCTAGCCCCCTGGTGGTTGGGAATCACTGCAGTCTGCAGTCGTCCGTTGAGGCCCCTCAAAACTCCTTCCCCCCCCCCCCCCCCCACTCCCACGTTTAGTCCAGCTCCCCTAGCCCCCTGCTGGCTTGGCTCGGCACTCACTGCAGGCGTTCTGGTTCTTGACGGGCCAGCCGAGGAAGGGCACGGAGTCCCAGGAGTAGAGGTCCCTGAATGACCACGAGTCCTGCTTGTTGTCCGCTAGCTCGTACTGCGCACTCACATAGCGCGGGAACGGGCTCGCCCGTGGCGGCGCATACGTGTCCACTGTCACATTCAGACCCAAAGCTGAGTGGATGGAAGAGAACAAGTTTTGGAAGGAGTGGTGTGGTGACAGAGAGAGGGCAGCAGAGAAAGTGAACGGGGGGAGGGGAAAGGGGTGGTGAAGTGGCAGGAGTGAGCAGCCTGGGAGATGCTTCAATGTGATGAGCAACCACCAGGAAGATGGTTGGAGAGAGAGAGAGAGAGAGCTCGTTAGTGGGTGAGCAGGAGCAACGCGGAGGAGCAGGAGGACTATCAGCTGACAGGCAGGTGAGAGGCAAGGCACGCAGGCTGCTAGCCTTCCCAGCGAATGAAAGGCTTCTCTGAGCATGGAAGTGCAGCACAAATGACCAATCAAGTGCTATGCTATAGGCTTCTGGGCATCGTCGAATCAAAACGCTTGGAGCAACTGAAAGAGAGATGGCGTGAATTCCACTCCAAGGAAGGGCTTCTTGCCTGGAGTGACGTCGACTGGCGCCCGTGGTGGCGGAATGTCTGCGTGGGATCATGATAAAGAGGTTGGAAGGGAGAAGGGTTGGAACGGAGGAAAGGGTTGGCACAAAACAAAAGGGCATCTGTGGTAATAAAGATGCTTCTGAGCGGGTGCGGGTGAGGGACATGCACCACCCGACAGTTACCATCACGCTCTCTCACCCACTCGAGAACCAGAGTGGCCCTGTATGCTGCATGAAAAGGCCGCTAGGGCCATGGGGGTTTGCTTGCACTATCATGCCAAACCATACAATGGCCCTGGCGGTGGCAGCAAAGAGACTTAGTAGCTGCGTGCATGGCGGAGTTTTGAGTTTTAGACGTTTGAATCGAAAAGAGAGAGATTGGTTACCTGCGTGCATGGCAGAGGTGCGAATGACTTGGCTCATAAACGGCTTGACTGTGGTGGACGCCACGAAGCCAAAGTAGAACGCCTGCAGCTGCGCCTCCTCCCCTCCTCGTAGCACCTCACACAGCGACAGCCGCCTCTCCAGCAGCGGCTTCACCGGCTTATCTATCCTCCTCACCACCCGCTTCCCTGCCCGTGTCACTGTCTCCTTTGCCAGGAAGACCTGGATGGTGCCGGGATCGCCAGGCTGGTAGTCCACCCATGCCGTGTATGCCTGCTTGTTGGCCAGCGGGAATGGGGACTTCACAGCGGCGATAGACTTCTCGTTGCCGTTGATATTCAGCCCCACGTGCTGCTCTTTCATGTCGCCGTGCGGCTTGTTCTGAAGCACGTCAAACTCGATCGCCATGCTGCGAGGGTCCATCCCACCATACCCCACTCCATCGCTGCTCCCCACCGTGCTTGTTGCCGACACCACAAACGCAAACCCGTTGGAAACGGCCTTAGCTTTCGGAGAAAGGACGAAGGTGAAGTTGACAGAAAAGCCCAGCTCGAACCCGCACCCATCATCCTCCCGGCCTTTCTCAAACACGAACAGGGTCACTGGCTCTTCTGTGAACATCCCGGTAGTTTCCTTCCTCGTCCCCTTAGTGAGCACGGTTGCTGGCGGGAGAATATTCCTGTCCAGCGGGGAGGTAAGGACCGAGCCTGCATGGGAGTGTGGAAGATGGAAAAGACGAAGCCAGGGGAGGGAGGGAGGTTGGGATGAAGAGAGCAAGAAAGGCGGGTGGTGTCTCATTACATAGAACATACCAACCTAACAATAGATGATAGCCGTGGCATCCATGCGGCTTCACTTCACACACATTGTCATCCGTATAGCTTTGCACCCCTCCCTCACCTTCCGCAAGGCAGTAAATGCTTGCAAACGGAACGAACCCCGTGTCACACAAGCAGGTGGGCGCCAAGCTAGGCCCGTCGGGGTAACACACCCCACGGCCACCACAGGCAGCAGCATCAGCGCGCATGGAGATGCCACAGAACGCCCGGCAGGCTGCCTCAGGCCGCTGCTCCTCCAACCATGTCGCCCCGGCAGGTGAAGCGGTGAAGCAGTTGGCTCCCAGTGAGACGTCACTGGGTGGCTCGGTTAAAGTGCCCGAGAGGTAATTGCTGGATAGGTCCGCTGTCCCGCTACTGGGTTTCACCATAGGGCCTGTGAAGAGGTTGTGGGAGAGGTCGCTGGGGGAGGGAGGGGAGAGAGAGGGGGGTGGCAAGGCAGGCAGGAAAGGAGGGTTATGTGGAAGGAGATTAGCTGCATTTGCCTGTTTAGGCTCTCAAAACTAAAGAGTGCATGACAGAGTTTTTTGAGACATCTCAAAACTCGAGAGTGTGACAGAGTGCAGGCATGCACCTGTGACAGCAGCTGTGCGAGAGGAGAGGGTGGCTTACAAGGTGACTACACCAGAAAGGTCGGCGACGCTGTTAGGAATGGAGCCGTACAGATGGTTCGACGCCAGTGACCTGACGGGAGCAGGGATAGAAAGGTGATGGTGATGGTGAAGTGAAGGGATAAAAGGAGATGAATCTCTTGAAGCATGATGGAGGTGAGTGAGAGGAGGTTGGAAGATACACAAGACAGGTGCATTGGATGTTGAAGGAAGACCCTCGAAGAGTATGCACTACCAACCAACCAGACTCGGGCTGTCCTGCTGCATAGGGTGCAGTTCCGATATCGTTCGCGTGGTGTGCGTTTCTGGTAGCCGTCATGCTACAGAGGCACCGATTGCGATGAGGAAATCTTTGAAGCTGCTTGGTTAACCAGCTGTGTGAGAACTGACAAGAGATTCGAGATTCTTGTTTGCATACACCTGCAAGCGTGACTCTTGTTACCATGCATTCGCCCATGATTACCACCCAATCATGGTTACCATTCACATATGGTTACCACTCACACATGGCTACCATTCACACATGGTTACCCTTGCTCTTAATTAGCACTCACAGGCTCACTAAGTTGACAAGCTTGCTGAGTGCAGAGATTGTGCCAGTGAGCTGGTTCATGCTGAGAGCCCTGCGCACACATGCACACACACATGTTCACACACACACACAGCATTATCAGCCGCACCCTAGAACGCCCCTCAACCCTATCACACACGTGCATCCTCGTTCATACCAAGGTGACTTTTGAGTCGACCCAAAAGTCACCTTATCAGCCGCACCCTAGAACGCCCCTCAATCCTATCACACGCGTGCATCCTCGTTCATGCCACACTGTTTACAGCTTGGCCCCGCAGCAGAGCCTGCTTAGCATCGCACCACGGTTCCTGGAACGTGTTGGGACGGATTGCGGCCCTCAGAACAAGACGCAGCTTGGCCCCGCAGCAGAGCCTGCCTGCTCAGCATCGCACCACGGTTCCTGCTTTCTCTAGCGCAAGTCAGCAAAAGCCAGCACAAGTCGTGTTGGGACGGATTGCGGCCCTCAGAACAAGACCACCGCTGACACTACAGCGACTGGCAGCCTGGCAGGCAGAAGGCGCAACCGGAACCCGAGAATCTAGAACCCTGAGTTTGAAACCCTGAACCCGAGGCTCTGAGGATGCACAGACTTAAACATCACGCCTTGAGATGCTCCAGACTTTGTGCTTCTCCACAGGTCCTTACAGCGTGTTGAGATTCACGAGTGCAAAGAGACTCTTCGGGATGCTTCCGCTCAGCTCGTTCTGACTCAGCTGCCTGCCACACAGAGAGAAGAAGGGCTGCACAGGTGATTCTGGTTGCAGAGACACTGCAAAGACACTGTCGAGGCCCTGTGATGCCAACTCCCTGCGCAAGCCCCTCCCAGCAGGTTGTTGATTGAATTCGTTACGCGCGCTTGGAAGTACGCAACGCAAAGCACTGCAGAGGGCAGGGCAGGGCAGCGACGGTTGAGGAGAGTTCCGAGGTATGGGAGGAGTAAGAGGAGGTGAGCGATAGCTTTGCAGGGGTGGCGCCAGGCAGATGGTTGGACTTGGATGAAGGTAGATCCCAAGAGGAGATGCGGTGAGAAGAGAGGCAGTTGAGAAGAGAGGCAGTTGAGAAGAGAGGCAGTTGAGATGAGAGGCAGTTGAGAATGGGAGGATGGGATGCCAAGAGGGGGGGCTGTGGCTGCTCACAGGTATGAGAGGCTGAGAAGCGAGCCCAGCTCAGCAGGGATGTCGCCAGACAGTTGGTTGAAGCTCAGGGTCCTGTGTGTGTGTGTGTGTGTGTGTGTGTGTGTGTGTGTGTGTGTGTGTGTGTGTGTGTGTGTGTGTGTGTGTGTGTGGGTGTGTGTGTGTGTGTGTGTGTGTGTGTGTGTATAGTAGAGGGACGCAAATGCACGGGCGGCAATGCAGATGAGAGGGTGAGAGTGTGACAAAAGTGTGAAACCTCCGGGACAGATTGAGTGGAAGTGGGATGGGAGGAGGCGGGCTGCGGAAGGGCAGCGCGTGGCTGGGTGGAGTGGACCGTGGAACTCACTCACATGAGACCCAGATTCTATTCTTGAGTCGACTTTGTTTGAGGTTGGTTTTGAGAATTCTCAAAATCAAACTCAAACAAAGCAGTGCGAGGATGGGTGGACCGTGGATGAAACTCACTCACATGAGACCCAGATTCTATTCTTGAGTCGACTCAGACATACGTGCATGGTGATGGAGGGACTCACATGGTGATGGAGGGACTCACAAGACACCCAGATTCCCCAACGAGCCAAGGGCTGGGGGGATGGATCCTGAGAGCAGGTTGTGAGACAGATCCCTGGAGGGTATTGGAGTGATTGGGGTGATTGGGTAACGGGGTGATGGGTTGCAAGGGTTAAGGGGTGATGGAGTGATGGTTGATAATGATGGCGGGATCCCAAAAAGTAGAAATGAGTGGAGGCCGGAAATGGGAGAAGCGGAGGGGAAGGAGGATAGCGTGGGGGGGGGGATGAACGAGAAGATGAGAGGGCGAGTGGTGGGTGAAGGGACGAGGCAACGAGAGGCTTAGGATATGCAGAGGGAAAGCGACAGGGAGAGCAGAGGAGAGCGTGCGCGTGAGGGGTGAGAGAGAGAGCGAGTCGCTAGCCTCCCAATGTGCCGTGCCACTGTCTGTAGCTGTAACAACCCGTCGTGGTGCAGTGCACCCACTCTCATCCCCCACCTCACCTCACACACACACACCACACTGCTCCAGCCTCTCAGGTGCAGGAAACCCCTGCTGGGCGGAGGAGGGCAAGCAGAGCGTGCAAGAGCGGTTCGCTGTTCAGTATGCGAGAGCAGTGACCTGCACTGGAGTTGAGTGGAGTAGAGTAGAGTAGAGTAGAGAGTCAAGTGGAGGGGAGTGGACTCACAGCCAGGTAAGTGGTGCGATGTCTCCCAGGAACTCCGGAATGGGCCCTGTGAGGCCGTTGTACGACAAGTCTCTGCAGCGATGAGGGGGACGGTGGGCGAGGAGGCAATGTTGATGTGACTTTTGAGCATTCTCAAAAGCCAGGAACTCCGGAATGGGCCCTGTGAGGCCGTTGTACGACAGATCTCTGTAGCGATGAGGGGGACGGTGGGTGAGGAGGCATGGCAGCACGCAGCAGGCAGGCAAGTGGGCAAGCGGGCAACCAGGCAGGTCAGCCAAGAAAGAGAAGCAAAAAAAAAAGGTCAAGAGTGGCCTAGGCAGGTAGGTAGGTCGGTAAGTAGGAAAGTGGGTAGGCAGGCAGCTAGATACTTAGGAAGGTAGATATATAGGTAGATAGGAAAGTAAGTAGGTAGGTGAGTAACTAGGTACGTAAGCAGGTGATTAGTTAGGTATGAAGCAATCTCATATGTGGTGGGGCAGCAGAGGCTCCCTTGGAGCTGGCAGCCTGACAAAAGCATCATGACAGGCTTAGCAGCCAGGCAAGGGCTCAGTGGTGGCTCAGGTAGTGGCTCAGGTGGTGGCTCAGGTAGTGGCTCAGGTGGTGGCTCAGGTAGTGGCTCAGGTGGTGGCTCAGGTGGTGGCTCAGGTGGTGGCTCAGGTGGTGGCTCAGGTGGTGGCTCAGGTGGTGGCTCAGGTGGTGGCTCAGGTGGTGGCTCAGGTGGTGGCTCAGGTGGTGGCTGAGGTCTGCTGGCGGATACTTACACATCAGCAGACCGGCTCAGCCGTAACGCACAAGGAACGAACACAAACTAACGGCTTGTAAGCATGCTCGTGAGGGTAGGTGTGTGGGTGCATAAGTGCGTGGGTGCGTGCGTGGGTGGGATGGGTGGAGGGCGAATGGGTGCAGCGCAGTGCAGAGAGCACTTACATGTACGCAAGACTGGCCATAGCAGCCATGCCTGCAGGCAGGGATCCTTGAAGGTTGCAGCCCCTCAAGCTCCTGTGCATGGTGGCCCAGGCAGCAAGGATGAACCAGACGAGATGAGAAGGAGGGGGAAGTGGGGGGGAGGGGAAGAGGGGGAAGGGGAAGAGGGGGAAAGGGATGTGCAAAAGTGGGGCAAGGTAAGGCAGAGAAGAGGGCTGTGTGGGGCAATGGGCAAGTTGACAGCAATAAAGGGAGGGAGGGGAGAGTGTGTGTGAAAAGTGGTGCTTGTGGAAGCGAAGGGAGGGAGGGAGGGAGGGAGGGAGGGAGGGAGGGAGGGAGGGAGGGAGGGACAGAGGGAAGAAGGTAGGGCGGGACGGACGGACGGACGGATGGATGGGCGATGGAGCATTGGTGCATAGAAGCAAGAGGGTTGTGCAACGTACAAGTAAGTGAGGTCCTTGAGATTCACAATGTCTGTCGGAATGGTCCCGGAAATGCCGGTGTTGCGACTCAAGTCTCTGGTGATCACAGCCACAGGCGGGCGGGGGGGGGACGCACACAAGCACAAGCACAAGCACAAGCACAAGATAAGGGCGTGTAAAATCCCCGCACACATGTGAAACTTGCTTTTGGCCGGACGACCTTTTGGTCGACTTTTCTTTCGCGAAAGCCGACGGATTGGTCGAGTTCGTTCGTGTCGTCACTTTTGCAGCCACTATTTGCAGATATACAGAATCTACAAGTTTCATCAGAGCTGCTGAGTGTATCGGCTCACAATATCTGAAGCGAGGTAAGGCTTCCTATGGTTGATGGTAGCGAGCCGGTGATGCCCCTCTGTGATAAAGTTCTGGTGGGACGAGGGGAGGCACGAGGCACGGTGGTCCAGGTGGGGAGGACGGGAAAGGAAGGAGGAGGGAGGGTAGGGGAATGCAGGGGAGTGGGGGGAGCGGAGCGGAGAGGAGGGGCGTGAGAGGCAGGAACTGCAGCAAGCAGCGTTGACCAAAGATTGCAGCAAGCAGCGTTGTCCAAAGATTGCAGCAAGCAGCGTTGACCAAAGATTGCAGCAAGCAGCGTTGACCAACGATTGCAGCAAGCAGCGTTGACCAAAGATTGCAGCAAGCAGCGTTGACCAAAGATTGCAGCAAGCAGCGTTGACCAAAGATTTCAGCAAGCAACCGGAGAAGCAGCAGCGAGCAAGGGACCGGAAGAGGACAATGACAGTTGAGCGAGCCAGGGGGGAAGCAACAGTGAGTAGAGCGACAGCTGAGCGAGCGGGAGAAGAGAGTGGAAGGAATGAGAACGCAAGGCTGGCGAGTGAGTGAAGGGGCGAGAGCATGGAACGTACAGGAACTGGAGCTTGTCAAGGTTGCTGATGGAGTCGGGAATGGGCCCTTTCAGATCATTGTTCGCAATATCCCTGCCAGCACGACAGCAGCGGCAGCAGCAGCAGCACCACCACAACACAACAGCCACCTTCATTAGCGTCACTTTGTCACCAGCATGGTTTTCTTTCCCACGTCGATGGTGGTGGGACAATGGAATGATGGTCCGGCAGTTACGTGTGGGCAGAAGGAATACAGACAGCCTACAGGTGCTCCATGGGAAGCCAGTTATAGGAGCGCTAGCAGTACCTACCCACCCACCACACAGATCTATTCTACTTTTTTCAAGCGAGGAAAGGAACGACGAGCATGCAGCGGTGTAGTCAGTCAGTCAGTGGCGGGTAGCGAGTCTCACAAGGAGACGATCATGCCGTATGGATCGCAGATGACGAACTCGAGCATGTCGCAATCCCAGTCGGAATAGTCAGACCACGTCATGGAGAGCCGGCCCCACACGTCCTGGCAGTCCCGCAGGAATTGCACTGCGAATTGGCGTGGGAGGAGGAGGGAGAAATGGGGGGGCAGAGGGAGGGGGATTGAGGGAGAACGAGGGAGGGAGAGAGAGAGAGAGAGAGAGAGAGAGAGAGAGAGAGAGAGAGAGAGGGGGAGAGTAAGCAAGCGAGCAAAACGAACGACTCCACAACGACTTGCCTACTACTCCTAGGGAGGCGCTGAAACTATTCCACGCCTATCGGCAGCGCTGGTCAGTCACTCTGGTCTGCACTGCAGAGAGCGCGCAGGCGGATCGATCAAGACCGAGGCGGCACTATGCCACAAGATTCAAGGCCGAGGCACCCACTTGTGCCTCCCAGGAAGAGCCCCTCGACACTGGTGACCTACTCTAGAGTAGCACGTGCTCGGACCCGAGCTCGATCGAGTTACCCTATTGTGCTTATACTTACTGCCGTGCTTGCCTGTACTTGCCGTTCTATTGTGCTGTATTGCCTGCTCTTTTCGATGAAGGATCATTCGAGGGGGAGAAAGCAAGTGAGCACGATGGGTCCTCCTGCCTGCCACTACTGAACTTGGATGAAGCAGCACTGACGAGGGCGTCAGAACGATAGGCGGCGCGCGGCGAGACGGGCGAGCCCGCATCAACTCACAATGCGATGCGACACACCTTGGGACTCCTGAAGGAGCGAACCGCCAGCCACCCCGGCAACACCGGCCATTGCGATCACCACCACTGCCACCACTGCGGCGTGCGGCCACGTCGACACGGCGGCGCGCGTCGGCGTGCGGCGCTGCGGCGGAGTCCGCGGAGCATTAGTAGCAGCAGCACCAGCAGGAGGACTAGTAGTACGCGGCGCCATGTTCAGGTTGAGCGCCGCGGGGGACGTCGCGGGGGGACGCGGGGGAAGCCGCGGGAAGCAAGCAGATTGTACAGCCTGGAAGTTTCAGCAGCCAGATTGTAGCACTGGGCTTGCTCGCCCACCGGGGAATAAGAGCCGCGGACCACGAGACGATAGCTTGCTCTCGCGCTTCTTGTGAATGGCGACTCGGCGAGGGGTTGAGATGTTCTGGCAGCACGGCTCTCAAGCCTGAAAGCCTTGAGAGTTAGTACAACCAGCAGTGGCAAGGCTCGGACTGCGGGTTCGACACAGCGGCTCAACACACTAACACAAGCACTTGAGCTCCTGAAGGCTCGACTACTAGCGGTAACAGTAGTGGCGCATCGAGCTCCGTGGTTAAGGAGGAGAAGGGGGAACAGTGTCACTGTCATAGTGACGATGCTGCGACTGTGTGACTTGTAATAGTACCCTACCGTTCACGCTTCAGCTCGATACCAGTGATGGGGCTGTGAGTGTGACGGTGCAGGTGCCGCGGCTGGGACGGTGATGTTCGACGCTCATCGCGGTCGGTTACAACAAATTGGAACGCATTCTGAAGACTCAGATTTTGGTGAGTATGACGGAGGCCGTCAGAGCCGCATTCAACCGCACTGTATCACGCTGTTGCGTGCGTAACCGCTTATGACCGTGGTTCATAAGGAGTCTCAAGGGTGAGATGCCTCCCGAGTGGCATCCCTTTCCGATTGGGTTTTAGATTTTTCCGGGTCAGGGGGGGTGCAATGTATAGTCCGTCATGTTATTTTTGGCTCGCTGCGATGAGGTATCGCGTTGAGGATCAACCAGCGGGACCTGCGGTGAAAGGGAGGTACGGTACATTCTGGGTTCAATGCGACGGTGAGGCGCTCGGTCGCATGACTCACATCCGAACCGAAGAAGGTAGTAGTGCAGCTGTATGTTTCGAAGCTGAATCACTGAAGTTGGAAAAGGCCAATCACTGATCACGAACCGCTTGACGCAGCTGAACGCGACTGGTGAGGCGAGCCGAACCAAACCAAACGACAGGCTCGGTGAAGAACAATGTCCACCCGTAAGGGTGATCCTTTTGTAATATTGCACCTTATCAGCTGTGCTTAGGAAAATAATAGCATTCTTATAGAAGCCTAAAAATCGCCTTCTCTCCCCCACCTCCCCCCCTCCCCTTCTTCACCCTCTTTACTCGCTTCCCCCTTCTTTCTTTGATGAATGCCATACAACAGCCTAAGATATTCTATACGGGAAACCTATGGTAAGGTATGTACCGGAATATGAAGGCAACAAACATCACCAAAAGAGGACATGGAAAAGAGGTGGGGCATGAGATTGAGGGCCAGTTTCTTAGGCTCTAACAGCGTGAAGAGTGGAAGGGCCTCTCTGCTGCGCGGTAAGTGAGGTGCAGCTGGTGAGAGGGTGGTATAAAGTGGGCAAGGATGTGAATTTTCTGTAGAATTATGCTTCTACAGTGCAAAAACTAATCAACTTTAGATGCGGGTGCCATACTTTTGAAGGGACACGAATTGTGTCCATCCAGACCAGAGAGAACCACTTTAGAGGGGTGTTAGGTAAAGGAGGTCAGTTATAAGCAGCATGTGCTGTTGCCAACTTGGTTGCAGCAGACAGGGTTCTTCTCCTTGGTCATGCAAATGCTGGTAACACTGCAACACCTATTTGCCCAGCACACTCGCCCGCTTGCAGGCTGCACGCATTTCGCACAAGAAAGAGACAGAGGGGGGGAAGGAAATGGGGAGGAAATTGAGCACGCAACAAAACGAGAGTTGAAATTCCTCCTCTGGAAAAAACAACAAGAGAACAAGGGAAAAAACAAAACAAAAGAGCAAGGCAAGGAAAAAAGAGGGGTGAAAACAAAACCCTGGAAAGGAAAAAGAAGCGCACTGAAAGGAACCGTGCTGTTCGTTATTGTGAACCTAGTATTAGAGGCAAGATCAGATCGTGCAGCCAAGGAAAAGCAACCATGCTACTCCATTCCGTGGGGCGTGCACTGCACTCACACTGCCGCAGCACTTGCTGCCGCCACAGAGCTCCGTGGGCGCGAGGCAGTAGCCGTTGCAGCAGCGGAAGGGCGAGCAGCACGCCACGGCGGTTTTGGCCTCCGTGGTGCTCAGGCACGTGGGGCACAGCTGTGATACCGCCGCTGGTTATATCAGTGAACGACACGCGGGAAGGGGTGGAGACAAAAGAGGGAGGATTTTGGGATGGAAACTGGCGGAGGGGGGAGGGGAAGAGAGCGAATGGTTTGGATGATGGGGAGCATGGAGTGAATACCAGGTTGAGAATGGAGGGCTTACGATGAAGCCTCGACGTCTAGTGACAGGTGACAGCAAAAAGTTATCACACGCCGGAAAAGGTTCTCCTTATGCTCTTCTCACCTGTGAACGCCTGTTGCGGACAGACCACGCGAAGCAAGCACAAACCCCCAGCAAGAACAGACCGAACTCACGAGAGACTGAGAAGGTCCAGCTGAGGATGTCGTGCACGGCGGGGGAGCCTGCGGACGACGCGGTGAACCCCACGAAGAACCCGGGCTTCTTCAGCACCGCGCACAGGTTCATCCTTCCGCGCATCACCGCCCGCCGCGGCCGCTTGCGCCCGCGCCCCACGTACACCGCGAGGTCGAGCCCGTTGTAGATCACCCACGCGCGCCAGATTTTGGTGTCGTTTAGCGGCGCAACGAGCGTCTCCGCGGAGAGGGACCTGGCGGAGTTGCGCAGGTTAATCCCCACGTGGCTCGCCACGAGCGCGCCCCTAGAACCGCCATCAGCGCCATTGGCGCTGTAACTGGGCTTCGGGTCCCACGTGTTATGGTACGTGTCGAACTCTATCGCCAGCGCGCGCGAGCGGCGGTAGCGCACGTCCCCCGCGTACCCCATATACCCGTCCGCGGAGCCCAGGTTGCGCAAGCGCGGCCAGAGCACCATGGCGAAGCCGTCCGCGGGCCCGCTCACGCGGAAGTCGAAGATGGAGCTCCAGGCGAGCGCACGACAGGTGGAGCTGTTGGCGGAGTTGCCCGGGCGGTCGAGGAGGACGATGGGCGTGCGGAGAATGGCCGCGCCCGCGGAGTGCTCCGCGGAGGTGAGGCGCACGGCCTTGCGGTGGTATGAGGCGGCCGAGCCGAATAGGTGGAGCAGGTCAGTGGACTGGAAATTGGGGAACTTGACGCGACCTGGTAGGGAGCGGTGGGTGAAGGGGCAAGGAGACTTAAAAGGCGCTTGAGGCGATGAGATATCATGCTGAGTGGGGTGGGGAAGAGGGAAGCGGCGCGAGACATGGGAGGCATTATGAAAACAGCATGGGGGTGGTTTGCAATCAATTGGGGCGAAGAAAAGCGAGGGTACGGAAAGAAGATGGCCGCGGAGTGTAGAGGCGAAACGCACTGCTCAAGGGGCCGGATCTGAACGCGTGGCCATTGCCCTTGGCCATGGCGGAATCCAAAAGCAGTAGCAACAGCAGGCACGTCACCGTTGCTGCAAGCAACAGCCCTTTTGGAGCCCGAGTCATGGCGCCGCTTGCTTCCCTGTATGCGCGAGCGTGGTACACGCACTCGTGCTAGACGTTATATCCGTCGACCTTTTGTCTGTTCGAGTCTACAGATAGTTAGTATACGAGGTTAGTATATCGGGTTTTCTTCGAGAGAAAGGAAACGGAGCTTGAAGTGTCAATGGTGAGAGCCCTAGCCGCTACCCAGACGGTCTGGAAACACTTGGCAGCCGGTCTGTGAACGAGATTCTTGTGACGGACAAACACCAGCGAGCTGTGTTGGTGTGGCTGTTAGCAGGGAACCTAAACTGAACGAACCGTGTGCGTCCCTCCAGCCTGGTCTAAGTTTCGACTTACCAGAAACCCAGGGCTTGGTTGCTTGCGACCAGAAACCCAGGGCCGATGTTGGAGGGGGAGGGAGGAAGGAGGGCAAAATGCTTTCGCCCATGCTGGTCGAGATGAGATGAGATGGGATGGGATCGGCGCATCGAAATGGTAAGTGGCCCGCGTCGCGCTCGTGAAGTGTGTTCGTGCGTGATTTTCTGCGATGAGATACCATTCTGCGTGGAAAGTAGAAGTTGCCTGGGGTTCGGGAACTGGAAGCTAAAATGAGAGCCTCATTTCTCTTAGCGAGAAAACCAGATCCGCTGAGGCCCTTTCTGCAGTTTTTACGGGAGACGTCGTCATTCAGAAGTTTTTCGAACTCAAAACGGTAATGGTAGTGAAAAAACCTCAAACTGAAGGTTCTTTACCATCAAGAGATTCCGCAAATGGAAAATGGCAAGCCATCCAATGCCTGAACCACTGCGCGACTTGACACCTTTCGATATAGTCGCTCTACACCGGGCAAGGGACATTGGTGGCTGCAATTTGTTGCCGCGCTACGACACAAACAGGATTTCATTTCTCACAGCAAATTCGACGTGGTTACAATTGGGTTCTTGTTGTTATGAGTTGTAAAAGAGAGTGCGCAGATAAACGAATAACGAGACTGTGATTGAACGAACTGAGAATACAATGAATGCACAGACTAATGTAGGGCTAGCCTAGCTAGGAGGAAACCTCGGAAAGCGAGGTTGGGTGCAGGTTTGGCGATGGAAATGCCGAAGGCGACGCGAGGAGCCTCGGCAGCGTTGAAATCGGCCGAACGTGCGAACTCCGAAAATCGGGTTGTACGCGAAGCAGTCAACCCCGATAAGGAATTCGGGAAAATTCCTTACACCACCCCCCCCCCCTTAAGAAAGGTGGTCAATATCCGAAACACGCTTGCGCGCCAAGTAATCACCAACAAGTGGCGAGGCGTCAAGCGAGGCGGATGGCACCCACGTGTCGTCCTCACTGGTGCGATCAGTCCAGCAGATTAAGAAATCCACGTGTCGTCCAGCTGCGTCAAGGCGGACCCGATGAGCCAGGATTTTCGAAGGGTCAAGGGTCGGCTCCGGAACAGGTCGTGCTGTCGGGGCAGCTTGCTGACGTGCGATGTCGGTCGTGGCTGGCACGAACTTGCGAAGAAGGCTGATTTGGAAGGCGTCATGAATTCGCCAGTCGTCGGGTAGCAACAGCTTCGCGGTGACAGGTGTCACCATCTTGATAATCTTGAACGGCCCACAAAATCGTGGCCGGAGTTTTGACGGGCCGGGCAGATGCAGGTTCTTTGTGTCAAGTAGCACTAATTGCCCAGGGGTCAAGACGAGTTCCCGGCGTAGGAGGTCGGTGTATTTGCGGGAAGTAATATTCGCCTCGCGAATTGCCTCGGCGGCTTTTTCTCGGGTTTCCTGGAGTTCCGTCACAAAAGTTTGTGACCGCGGGACCGGGTTGTCGAGGGAAGTCGCTGTAGGAACCGTCGGGTCCATCCCGTAATTCAGGAAAAACGGGGAGTGATTAGTCGTGCTGGACGGTGCGTTGTTGAAAGCGAACTCCAACATTGCAAGAGATTCTTCCCAGCGGGCCGGGTCGGGGCAGTTTATCCTGATCAGCTGCTCCATGGTCTGATTGGTCCGCTCGGTTTGACCGTCCGTCTGTGGGTGGTATGCCGATGAGAACTGTAGCTTCGTGCCGTACTGCGCCCACGTCTCCTTCCAGAACTTGGATGTGAACTTCGGGTCTCGGTCGCTGATGATCGCCGAAGGGATGCTGTGCAGTCGCACGACCGTTGAGATGAAGAGTCGCGCAGTTTCTTCGGCCGTGATTGTCGTTCGGCATGGTGCGAAGTGCGCCATTTTCGTGAAGCGATCGACGACGACGAGAACAGCGTCGTTGCCGGACGGCCCCGCTGGCATCCCCGTGACGAAATCCATCGTCACTTGCTGCCACGGTCGTTCGGGTGGCTCGAGGGGTTGCAGCAGCCCAGCTGGTCGTTGACGTGTCGATTTCATAGCTTGGCACACCCTGCATGAGGACACATATCGCTGCACGTCGTTAGAAGAGTCAGGCCAATAATATTGACGCTGCAGTAATTTCTGGGTTTTATCAACCCCAAAGTGTCCGGAGAAAGTCGAATCGTGGACCTCCTGGATGAGAAGTTCACGCAGCAGCCGGTAAGCGGGAACCCAAATCCGGTCGGTTCCGGCTTTTAGGTAATAATCCCCTTTCTAAGTCGTGGCCTGCTGATGATTCCTAGTCGTGAAGAACGGGTCCGTAGTATAGCCGTGGGTGAATAGTCCTGTAAGTAGCGGGTTCGAATGGGTGATGAGTACTGCAGCGGATTGTACTGTCGGTCGGGTCAGGGCGTCGGCGATGTTATTCGCCCCTTTCTTGTACGTGATGCGGTAGGTGAAGTGGCTCTCCATGTAATCCAGCCACCGAATCTGTCGTGGGTTGAGGTTGGGTTGGGCTCGCAGGTACTGTAGGGACTTATGGTCTGTGCGAACAGTGACGTCGGCGCCCACCAGGTAGCATCGCCATAATTTAAATGCGTGTATGATGGCGAGCATCTCCTTGTCGTGGATCGGGTAGTTGCGTTCGGCTGCCTGCAGCTTGCGTGATTTGTAGGCTATCGGCTGCAACTCGTTCCCGAAATCTTGGAGAAGTACAGCTCCGATGGCGAAATCTGAGGCGTCGGTTACAACCTCGAACGGCTTCGATGGGTCGGCGATGCGCAGTACAGGAGGGGAAACGAGAAAATTCTTGAGTTCCTGGAAAGCCGCTTCTGCCTCCTCCCCCCACACAAAATTCCTGTCCTTGTGCAGCAGGTCGGTCAGCGGGCCGGTTATCCCCGCCATATTCGGGATAAACCGCCGGACGTAATTCACGAATCTGAGAAAACTCTGGAGTTCCGTGACGTTCGTCGGGGACTTCCACTCCTGTATGGTCTTGATTTTCGCCGGGTCGATTTTAATGCCGTCGCGCGAGATTACGTGCCCCAAAAACTCCAACTCCTGCTTAAAAAACTCGCACTTAGAGCCCTTGGTGATGAGTCGGTTCTCCTGCAGCCGTTTAAATACTGCATCCAGGTCTCGGAGGTGCTGCTCCCGTGTCTTGCTAAAAATGAGGATATCGTCCAAGTAGACGATGACACATCGGTCTAGAAGATCCCGAAAAACCCTGTTCATGGTCAGTTGAAAAGTCGAAGGCGCGTTCGTGAGGCCGAAAGGCATCACGGTAAATTCGTAACTCCCGTAGCGTGTGCGAAACGCAGTCTTGTGACAATCGTCGGCGAAGACTCGAATCTGGTGGTAACCGCCACGTAAGTCAATCTTCGAGAAATAGCGAGCGCCGCGAAGTTGGTCGAGGAGGTCGTCAGTGCGTGGGATTGGGTAACGAGACTTGATGGTGGCCCGGTTCAGCGCACGATAGTCGATACACATGCGAAGCCCGCCGTCCTTCTTCGGAGTGAACAGGATCGGTGCTGCGAAGGGAGATGTGCTGGCCCGAATGAACCCTTTCTCCAACAGTGCATCAATTTGACTTCGCAGCTCCTCGAGTTCCGGCTGGGTCAACCGCCACTGTGTCCGAACAGTCGGCTGCGCGCCAGGTTCCAGCTGGATTTTGTGGTCCTCAGGTCTCTCGGGTGGCAGTCCAGGTGGCAGGTCGTCGGGGAAGATGTCCGGGTACCTCCGAATCAGCTCCGCTAAATCCGGTGGTACAGCTGCACACAGCTTCTCGATGTCTTTTCCATCGGTGTCAACCGCCAACTCGCGTAAGCAGACAGCGAACAGCTGCGCGCCCCTGTTGAAGTGGCGAGCTATAGTGACAGCTTTGACGCACGGGGCTTGGATGTAGTCAGGTGTCCATGCAGGCAACTTAATTAGCCCCTCGTGCTTGTTGATGCTGCACGATCCCGTTGTCCAGTCGATGACGGGGTTGTGCCGTCGCAGCCAATCACGTCCGAGCAGTACGTCGCAGCCGTCCAATGTTGTCGCGAGAAACTTCATGCTGAAGCCGAAATCGTCGCCGCAGTCGATCCTGACCGTCCGTGTTTCTTCCGTAATCGCCAGAGGCGTCCCATCCACGAGGCGAGCGTCAATTTCGGGCAGACACCTGTCAAGTTGCAGCTTGCATTTTTTTGCGCTCGCCAAATTGAAGAGGCTATGGCTGGCCCCTCCATCGACGAACATTTTCAAATTATGTTTTAACACCTTGCCAGCGACCAGCACAGGGTGATCCACATGTGTATCCCCGTTATTCGGCCGAGTGCGATCGATTGCATGAATCGGAACCACGACTCGGTGGGGATGGTGGGGTTCGGGCGACGGAGCGTAGTCAGTAAAGGGCCCGCTAATTACTTACTTTTCCCATTTCCCTGCTCCTTCCTGTCGTTCCCTGTCGGCGACGTTTTCTCAGGGCAGTCTTTCATGTAGTGACCCGCCTTCCCACACCGGTAGCACGGTCCCTTAGGAGGGCGGTCGGGTGTATGGACGGCGTTGATAGTGGCCCGATGGGTCTGGCCACGAAAACGGTTTCCATCCCTGGAAGCTGTTCTCGCGTACTGCATCAGTGCGTCCGTGGATTCTGCCAGCCGTACTACTTCGAGGAATGATGTCGGGCGGCCCCTGCGCACCTCATATTGAATTTCGTACTTGAGGCCGCTTATATATTTATCCAACCGCTCTGCTTCCGACATGTCATCAACTTGGTCGGCGAGTCCCATGAACGACGCTGTGTAGTCTTGGACAGATGCCATCTGCGACCAGGCACGCAGCTTCATGCGAGCTTGCTCCGAGGCAGATACGTGCTCGAAACGGTTTCGCAAGGCTGCGCCCCACTCCTTCCACGTGCGTATCGTGGTCACACCAAAGATTGATTCTGCCACTTGATTAGTTGTCGCAGGGGTCCCGTCTGCCGCATGTGTCACACCTGTCGGTGTCCCTGTTTCCAAGGTCCGGCGCCACCACTCAAGTGCTGCTCCTCGAAGAAGCGAGACCGCGTAGTTAATACGCGTGGCATCGTCATTAACTCCGGCTGCAGTGAAAAAGACTTCGACCCCGAACAGCCACCCTTTTACCGTAACAGTTTTGTCCGTAGGATTAAACGAGGGCGGGTTGACGGGCTTGATCTTGATCGTCGTGACTGCAACTGGCGCAACTGCCGCTTGCCGCCTATCTTCTTCTTCGAAGTCACGTGTGAGCTCGTCCAGAGGATTGCCCATCACTTGACTGTTGCCCTCGCCTTCGTCCACAGGCGACTCCTGACGCGCTTCACCTCGCGTCTGGCGTAGCTCGGCGTTTTCCTCTCGCAGTGTTGTCACTTCCGCCATTAAGGTCTTCGTGCTTTCCTGCATTTCTGCCACTTGCGCCATCATCCGGTTAACAGCCTCCTGATCCATGTGCCTAGCGCTACGTCTGGTGGGCAGTCGGGTCTCCGTGGCCTTCAGGCAAGTGAAAACACGAACTATCGAAGTCGGGCAGGATTGAATTAACAATCCCTGCAGCCAACCGTCGTGTAGTCACTGAACCAGCCACACCCTATGCCACCAAACTACCCTCGGAAAAGCAGGGTGAACTAGGAAAGTAGCTCTGATACCAGGTGTTATGAGTTGTAAAAGAGAGTGCGCAGATAAACGAATAACGAGACTGTGATTGAACGAACTGAGAATACAATGAATGCACAGACTAATGTAGGGCTAGCCTAGCTAGGAGGAAACCTCGGAAAGCGAGGTTGGGTGCAGGTTTGGCGATGGAAATGCCGAAGGCGACGCGAGGAGCCTCGGCAGCGTTGAAATCGGCCGAACGTGCGAACTCCGAAAATCGGGTTGTACGCGAAGCAGTCAACCTCGATAAGGAATTCGGGAAAATTCCTTACACTTGTTATGAGCTGTTACCGGTGCTGTGGCACAATAATAAACGATACTATCATGTAGTATGGATCGCGAAGCCATACATTTCTGATGTTTTATGGCTGGCCTACGAATAATTGCTTTACGACATAAGCATGCCTAACCAATTAGACAGGGCAGGCTTGGAATGGACCATGATTTTGTACAAATATTTTGTTTTTTTGTCAACATGCGCATATCACTCAAGGTGGACCCGCCTTCACTATTCAAGCGCCCCAAGCTGTAGAAGGCCTAACAAGGGGCCATAATACACATGAGAAGTCACATACTAAGCAGGCTGACCACCACCAGTAAAATAGAGTAGAGTAACTCGCGTGATGAGTAGCACGCGAGTTGGAAACCGAAAGAAACGGAGGTGAAGGTGCGACACACAGCTAGCCTAGTGTGGGAGGACGATTCACAATTCCATCTTTATCCACGTAGATGCGCACACGGTTCAAGCGGTAGTCCATCGTCACCATCATGCCCGGCCTGACGATTCCCACTTGCAGCGTCGGGTCCTCCGCCAAAATCTTCTCGCGGGCCTCCGTGCCTGGGATTCCAACCAACTCTGGCCAAGACTTCGGCTGACCCTCGTCCATGTTAGAACCTGAAGGGTGGGACGCATTGAAACAGACGGATACATCTCGAAAACAAATTAGCACTCACAAGGACCAGAGGGCAGACTATGAAGAGGAACGTGAAACGAGTCGGAACGTGAAACGAGTAAGACAGAATTTTAGGGTAACCAATGGGGACTAGTTCCACTAGGACACTAAGCGAAGCGTGTTGCTAAGAACGCGACTTCCGAAGCGTGATCTAGGTATAAACGGCCAGAGCTGTACCTGGAGGAATATCGTTCAAAAGCGCGAGAGTAGGGACCAAGAGAGTCGCGAGCACAAGCAGGATACAGAAATACCAATTCTTCGACATCCTGGACAGTTCTACGTGCAGATTTATAAACAGGAAAGGTTTCAAAAGGAGAGCTTGCTAAGAGTGCACCACACGCAAAAGGAGTTTGATAACACGGTTTCTTGAGAGAACGGACTACCTTCAAATCCACGGCACCGAACAGAAATATATGTGCTGCGTGCAGAGGAGCTCCGCTGACAAACTGCAACCCTAGTCGGGAGGGAGATATGGCTGGGGGAATTACAAAGACGAGGGGAAGGTGTGACAGATGCCATCTCCGCGTTCGTGTTTGGAAAACGTGAGCAAGGGTGGCCGTGGGAAGGGGTGGTCCGTTTGTTGGACACCGTTTGGCCGTCAGTCGGTGGGGAAAGCGGAGATGGCGAGAAAATGGACGGCCGGGCAGGCGAAAATCGATGATGATGACGGCCAAGACAGGAGGGTGGAGGTGCTGCTGAGCTGGTAGAATTGCGATGACTGGACGAGGGGTGCGTGTTCTGACGGTGGGTCCGACAAGTTTTGTTGAACAAGTGATAGACATTTTTCTGACGATTAGCTGGCTCTACGTGTTGAACAAGCGATAGACTAAGAGCGTGTTACGTACCCCTTAAAGCTTTCGTATACATTTGAAAGTGGGAGTTTCAGAAGTTTAGAAATTTGAAAACTGGTTACCCTATTACAGGTCATTTCCCTCGTCCCACAAGGGAGATGATCCCCCCGACACCCCGCACCATCTCCTCTGACTGCTGGTTCAAATCTTTTGAAACAACAAAAGGATACAAATTACCATGTTTCTCAGAACTAGGCCACTACGCACGATAGGCCGAAAACTACGTAGATAAGCAGATCGCGATTCAACAACCAGCGCAAAGAACCCCGTTTCCGACACAAACAGCGACGTAACTAGACGTATAGAGTCATTACGCGTCCGCACCAACGCCAGTTCCGCCCTCTCACACTCGCCTCTCCCGCATCACACGCGTTCGACATTGAAATAGCACTAGCCGCGCCCGCTAGCTTTCAAACGCGGCATCCCTCCACCTACCACTCTCGTCGCGCCGCATCAAACCGCTGCTTGTGGCCTAGCCGGCGCCGGTTCTAGTCACCTCGCCGAGCCGATCACAACGGACCTCCTTTCATTAGCCTCGCCTCGTTGTCCGTCGCGGCGTCGCATCGCCTCACCTCGCTGCCTCCTCACACCTCCTTGAACACGCACGCTGCATCTGAAACTGCCGAACAGCGGGATCTCGCACGATCACAGTCGCCTCCCGCTCGCGCAGCTTTGTTACCCCGTTTCCGCACTAGCCACGGCTGCCGCACTTGAGGTCGCGACGGACTGCCGAAACGGTCTCCTTGACCAGCCAATTCTTCTCCCCTTCCCAGCGCCTTCCCATCTCTGCCTTACGCCCTTTTTCCCCCTCTCTCCACTCTGCTTTACCCCCCGCTTCCCCGTTACCCCTAACCCGCCTCCCCATTACCCCTTCCCACCTCCCCGTTTCCCCTTCCCACTCCCCATTACCCCTTCCCGCTTCCCCCTATCCCTTCGCGCCTCCCCGTTTCCCCTTCCCGCCTCCCCAATTCCCCTTCCCGCTTCCCCATTACCCCTTCCCCCCTCCCCGTTTCCCTTTCCCTCCTCCCCAATTCTCCTTCCCGCCTCCCCATTTCCTCTTCCCTCCATGCCCTCGTAACCATCTCTCCCGCCTCCCCTACCTGCCTGCCTACCCTAAGGGGATAATGACGGGGAGAAGAGGGGGGGAATGTGAGGGCTAAGGGGGGGAATTGAGAGCGAATAGGGGGGAGTGTGAGGGGTAGAGGCCAGGGAACTGAGAGGGAGAAGGGGGAGAAAAGACCCGAAAACGGGGGAAAATGGAGGGGGGAAATGAGGGGTAAAGGGGGGATTAAGTTGGGTAATGAGGGGGGAGAAGGGGGGGTAATGAGAAGAGTATGTGCTAAGCTCCCGAAGCGCGCAGCGGGTGAGGCGCTAAGCGGGAAAGGAGTGCAGGGGGTGAGGCGCTAAGCGAGAGAGACGCGCAGCCGGTGCGGCGCTGTAGATGAAAACGAGGCGCGCGAACCTAGAGGAGCTAAGGGCTGAGGCGCGCCGCGGGTTCGGCGCTAACGGCGTGTGACATTTTTCAAAATCGCAGAAAGTCCGGACGTTGTGCGACGTACGTCCGAACGCTTGCAAAGCTGGCGACATCGTACGGTCGCTTTGCGACGTGGTAAGGACGCGAGGCGACACATACGACGTCGTTTCGATTCTGGACGAGCTAGCTGGCGAGCTGGAAGGATTCTGGTAACCACACAACCGTCCGAACGGCTGGACGTCCGGACAAAACAAAGGAAAAATGTCACACGCCCTAAGGGCTGAGGCGCCGCAGCGGGTTCGGCGATAAAGGGCCATGGTGCGCATCGGGTGAGGCGCTAAGTGGGAAAGGCGCGCAGCGGGTGAGGAGCCAAGCGGGAGAGGCCTACCTAGCGAGTGTTGAGAGTGGCGGCGTGGCCAACGCATGAAACGCGCATCCGCTCAGTGAACACGGCCCCTAAATTATCAATCGCGTGACGGCTTACTCGAGTGCGGCGACCCAGCGTCGTGATGCAAACCGCTAGCCTCGGTTCCTCTATCTATGCTTCGGCTAGTGAGTCACTGCAAGGTTGGGTGACGGGGGAGTTTCCCGTGTTTGGAACCCTCAAAGGTGCAAGTTTTCGCAAAACCTCTCGCCACCCTCATTTGGTTTCGTTTGAGCGAATTTTTTTGGGATACTGTGCAACCGTGAACAGTACTTGCAAATGTATACGAAAGCTTTAACTTGGCGGCAAGGCCCGGTTGCATGTAAAAGTCGACCCAACCTGACTGGTCGGCTCGACCGGTGGGCGGTTGGGTACCCAGCAGGCAACCTGCAATTGTACCACCCGCTTGTTTTCGGGACCCAACCACGCAAACAGTATTTGGGGCAGACCCAACAGTCACTGCGTCATTTTTAGTGGCCTACCTTAGGTGAAAAATGTCTTGCACTAATCACGTCGACTTTAGATAATGCAACCTGCCCGTAATGTTTTCGTGTACCACTGGTTGCGCAGCAGGTTGGTACGTTTGCGTGTTGGTTGCCTCGACCTGGTTGTGTGTGGGCGGGACCAACTGGTTGCTTGACTACCTGGTCGCCTCGACCGAGTGTGACCGTGCCCTGGTACGCACGTCCTTTACTGTACACTGTACACACTAGGGTTATCTGGTAACCCTACATTCAACCCAACCCGACCCTTCGAGGCAACCTCGACCAGGCCCCAAAATAAGGGGTACGTAACACGCTCTAAGGTCAACCGACAGGTGCTAGCACAGAGTGGTTTATTCGGACCACGGTTGTGAAACGAAGGTTCTGTCATTCGGTTGTATCAGTTTCTCATACGGTACACTTCTTTCATTCCCTTTCATAAAACCATTTGGGGAAACATTGTGAATACAACAGATTTCAATATGGTATAACTTTTGGTATCACTAGCAATTGTGAAAAACTCTCCAGCTGTGAACGTGTATCACCATCCACATGTATTACGTCCTCATTGTGAAATGCATTTCCCACAGGAAGAACTACAATATGGTAGTGTGGCATTCGAGATGCGTAAAAACAACGCTTTTAACAAATTTCAGTGTTTTGCCTGTAAATCAGAGGACCGGTCCCTTTGCCATATGTATCTGTAGAGAAACGAGTACCACCATGTTTGTCTCTTGTGTACCACCATGGGATCGAATTGGTGCCAGGGAGAATCATGCGTCGTATCCCACAGCGCGCTAGATTGGGGGTGCTTGATGCACTGTCTTGTGTCCTGAAGCGGCTACAGTTAAAGGCAGCAGACGAGGCGGCGTCCTTGGTCTTTTTGGCCTTCCCTCGTCTTATCTTGGGGATGCCAACTGGGCAAGGCCAGGGGCATAGGGTGGCAATCAGGGAGCGGTTGGAGAAGTTTTGGGTCGGGGAGTGGCGGGAGCTGTTTGAGTTGGCGGTGGCGGTAATGCAACCTGCGGCGCGTCCTTTGTCCTTCACCCCCCCCGAGCATGATCCTGATGCGGTGCGCCTGGCTCGCTGCCGCACAAGGTGCAAAGTGGGAGAATGGAGTCGGGGTTTGGCGTGTCTTACTGCCGGTAGCATCGCTCAGCCCTCTCAGCACATGGTGGACGCGCTGCGAGCGAAACACCCATCGAGCGAGACCGCCATTCCGGAGTGGTTGCAGGAGGAGATAGTTGAGCCTTCCCTTATCCCGCAGCTCTCAGTGGAGGTACTTGGTCAGGCGATCCACTCTGCGGCTAGGGCGTCGGCACTTGGACCGTCGGGGTGGGTGACGGAGCACCTGCGCGACACTTTTCTCTCTGAGCCCGCATACCTGCCTCACCTGCTAGGAGTCTTCACCCAGTGGACCAAGGGGGAGGTAGCGGAGCGCGTGCAACCCTGGCTCACTGCGTCCAACCTTGTGGGCCTGTCGAAGCCGAATGGTGACGTTCGCCCGGTGGCTATAGGCGAGGTGCTCCCCCGCATACTATCTCGGGCCCTATGCATCGTGCTTCGGCCGAAGATGATGTCGCACTTTGCGCCGTGTAACCAGCTAGGAGTCGGATCCAGGTCGGGAGTGGAAGTCCTCGCACATGCCTTTCGTTCTGCCATCTCTACTCACCCGTCATGGTGCGCGCTTCAAATTGACGTGGCGAACGCTTTCAACTCCTTCCATCGGCGGGAAATGTTTGAAGGACTTCGACAGTCGCCTTTTGCGGGTTTGATCCCATTCCTGCGTGTCTTCTACGGCACTCCTAGCGACCTCTACCTCCGTGCGGGCCCCTTCGTCGAAGCTTTGGCTTCAGAGCGAGGATCGAGGCAAGGGGACCCATTGGGGCCGTTTCTGTTCGCGTTCACACAGCAGCTGGTTATGGAGCCCACCAAACAAGAATTCGCCGACCTACTCTTTCTCAGCTACGCCGATGATACGTACATCTTGGGGCCTAGGGAGCGGGTGCTAGCAGCTTATGAGGTCTTGCGGGA